TGAACCATCACAAATGAACAATGCAAACCCATGAGGCCTGGGGGACACAGACATAAACCATGACACTCTGGATTAGCTATTCTCTGGCTGAGTCTTCTATTAGGCATTCAAGACAAGAAACAAGACTTTGGGTGTAAAATTCTGAACATCAGCATTATATATTTCACTTTTGAGGTCGCAGGATATCCAGGACAATTGAAGTTACTATACTAGGTAAACATCCAATTTATTTTCCTTTTAAGGTGACATCTGTTTTTTTTTTTTTTTTTGCTCTCCCTTTCAGTGACAGATCATGTGTACATGCTTTTCTGAACCTTTATTATAAGCGTTGTAGTCTAGAAACATGACAGATGGCAAATATTCCCATGAAGTACATTATCTACTAGTCCTGGATCTGTTGCTACCAGCTAGACCCAGTCTCATATGTATTACATACTTCCTCAGGTCAGGTCAGTTAAAAAAAAAAAAAAAAAACTTCTCCATTTTCATAGTATGCTGTTTTTTTTTGTTTTGTTTTGTTTTGTTTTCTTGCTGCACTTACCACAATTTTAGTAGGTTGCTACACGATGCTTTTAATAGGTTCTTTTATATTTATAGAAAAATATATATCTTTTTATAGCTTAATTTTTCTTCTGCTTTTATCTTCCCTTTTCCACAAGTATGTTTAGTAACACTTTTAACAGTAATGAGTTACAATGTTTTACTTTGTCTGAAAACATTTTGTCTGCATTCTTGAAATGTACTTTACCTAGTATTTGAAAGTGTGTCTAGTATTTTGAAGATCTTCCCACATTTATTGTATTCTTGTAGCAATAGTTTATGAAAAGTCTGCCATGGGTACTGTTACCTGTAACCATTCAGTCTTTCGTCTTCAGTAACTTTTTTTTTTTTTTAAATCGGTGCCATGGATTGAACTCATGACCGCCTGCTTGCAAGGCACGTGCTTATGCTGCTGAGCTAAATCCCCAGCCCCCTCAGCAACTTTTATGATACCTTCTTGGTCATTTGATGTCTGAATTTCATTCAGAGTTAGTGAGCTGTGGAGTCACTTTTATTTTTTTCACAGTGATAAAGTTGTGTTCAGTGTGAGGACTCAAATAAGCAAACTGAAGCTTATTCAATTTTATGAAATGTTAGCTACATAGTATAAAACAATATCTTTCTTTCATGCTTCTCATTTTAATAATCTGAACGTCTTTTCATGTCTACTACTATAGGAAAAGTACTACTATTGTATTATATATTATTCACTTCTACTACTTTTGGAAAAGCAAAACTTTCCTCAGCATCTTTCAATTTATGTATTCTTTTGTTCTGCTGAAAACTCACTTTTTAAAAAAGATTTTGAATCATTTTTACTAATCAAATTTTTCTTTCTGGACTTACTATTGTTTCTCACATCTTCCTATAATGTTTCAAAATGGCCTTCACTAATTGTGAAATTCTGTTCTGCTTTATTTTAGGCAATAAATTGCTTAATTTAAAATTCTTTTACTATTCTCTCATCTATAATTTTCCTAGGTGTACATTTACCTTTTTAGATTAGCTTCTAATGTTGCTTAGACAAAGACAATTTTTCAGATCCATTTTAATTGTGGTCTATGAGTTTAGTTTGTTCACGAGGTCCACATGAGCCTTTAGTTCATGTGGGAGTTTTTCACTGGGTAATTTTGCAGTTGCATTTGCTTTGAATACCTGAGATTAATTTTCAAACACTACAAATAGGTTTCTTGAAAGGAATGCATGTGTTTTCACTCTAAAGTTTTCAGTGCCTTTCTTTACTTTGCTATTTTCCTTCACATGAAAGATAATAATTGAAATAGAGTTCTGTAAGTGAGTTTACGGAAAATCATGCCTTTCATTGATAATCATTAAATTTACATGAAATTTTCTGAAAGTAAACTGGGTATTTAGACAAACTTGCCTGCTGAGAGATTATGGCACCCAATTATTATTTGTATTGAACAAAATATATTGGATATCTTATGTTAATAACACTTGAAACAAATGGTTTATACTGAGCCTAAATCTCTTAATGGCTTAGAAACATATCATGCTTTTACAGTCTATCTCTTTTTCCATTTTAACATATATTGTGGTATTTTACAAATAGTATCTTAATTCACTCTAAAACATGCATATTCCCTTTGCAGAGATGAGAAAAATGAACTGAGAAAGGCCTACCCATGATCATAGAGCTAGTAGAATAATTCACATTCAAGATTATTCACCCCAGGAGATATTGCTCTTACTAGGACACACCGTTATTATAATACATACTGTAGAAAAAAAATGTTATCTTCAATTTATAATCAGTGCTTGGTCTTCAGCAGTCTTGTCCCTAAATCAGCAGGAAGTAAACAGAAATTGTTCTTATTTCTAAGTAGAAGATGAGTTTCCACATGGTGAATATCTGGAGAAAAATTTGACCTGCTCTCTACCAGACTGTTGTCCCTCCTTTAATGCCTCTTACTTTTCTGGAGGAGTATCACTGATTCTATCTATCTGTTTATCTATCTATCTATCTATCATCTATCTATCTACTTTGAATTGGTCTGTGTTTCTGTGTTCTTTCACTTAAAGACCATAATCACCTCATGAGTCTTTGACATAAAGTCCCAAAACTTTTATGCAGTTGATCTTGTCATGTATGGCTCTGCCATGCATATATTCCCCTAAGTAAACTAAAATTACACTGATTAAGTTATTCCTTCAACTTTTACTCCAAAATAATGAAAATTAACTTTTATTTTAAACTTATTTCTCAAATACTAGGTGGTTATAATACTATCTGCTATGTTGAATTGTTGCTGTCATGATATGAATGACTAACAAATTTTGAGCTTGTATCTAGAGAGAACAGAAAGGGAATCTCAAGAAGAATAAAGATAAGATAAATCAAGAAGGAGGATACAGGGAGATGTAAAGAATCCTGAAGCTATGGCAATCTATGCTGCATCAGGTCTACGATAAGATTATTGCACATACAACTTTTCATGAAGTCCTTCACTTGTGGCTATCTCAAATGACTCCATGGTGGAAGAATTGAGATGGACAGCCCTAAAGTGTGACCATAATGAAATAAGGTTTTAAAATACAGTAGAAATAAATGGAATATATGTTCATTTTTTATCTGTGTATCTATTATAGATATTTATTAACCTAATAAAATCCAATGCCAAATAATAAAATAATTAAGTCAAATGTCAAATTTATTATAACATATACATAGACAAACAAAAGTTCCCCAGCTTCTAAATTTTGGAAATATCTTATATAAATAATGTTTTACAAGACAAATATAGCTCAGTATTTTACCATAATTTTTATTTTTAAGGTTTTATACTAGTTCACATATCCATCCTTTGTTTCTACATTGTACAAATATTTGTAGAGCACCTACTATGTTTAGGGACATACAAATTTTAAGTGGTTTATGGAGATTTTGGGGCCTGTGTCTGCTGAACTTTAAAGCACTAATAAGTTACCATGGCTAGATCAAAATAAATTTTAACTCTTTATATTAGGTATGATAATACAGAAGGAAAATCAAAATGGAGAAGTGAATAAGCATCATAAAATTCAGGGCAAAGGTCTTTGCTGTAAATAACCAATTAAAACCAAAAAAGTTATTTTACTAGAATTTTCTTTGTTAGTTGCCTTAATCTTTGACCTCCTTTTGCATCTGCACATGCAAGATATTTGTTACTGTTAGCTTGGGTAATTATGACAACATGTTTATAAAATCTAACATGAAAGATAATGGGCTGAATGCTCAATCACCTAGAATTAAACTTAAAATTCCATGCAGTTTCAATATTTTTATATTATTTGCTCTAATTGCAGAATATTCGGGAGGTACTAAACTTCAGAGGTACTGGATTTCATAGAAAAGGGTATATTCATGATTTAAAAAGTCACTATAATATGCAGGATATTTTCCCTATATTTATCACTATGTTAATTGTCTTAGAAATAGTTAAAAATATACCACAGTAAAAGAACTGAACAATATCAAAAATCTTCCCAGGAAATCTCAAATATGGGCCAAATCACATTGCAACAACTGTCATTGACATAGGGAAAAATTTGTTGAATATCTGTTTGTTTCATGTGATTCGGCCTAACACAATGCTGAAGGCTTATTTACCAGACTTGTTACATCTTGGTTTAGTGAAGAGCAATTTCTTGAGAAATTACAGATGATATGTGTTCATCTTCACCTTGTGCAAACTTTGAATAGAAATAAAAACTGTATGTATCAGAAAATCTCTGTGATTTATACCCTACCACAAATAAAAAGAACTAAGACCAAGCTTATAATTCTGAATTACCTCTTTAAAGAGAGAATAGTAAACTTCCCATCCATTTGGTCAAAAGTAGAAGTTTTCCTTTTGGCTTGTAACATTTCTGTTTTGACATTGTTCATCTGCTGTCAATTATCGACCAATTTACTAGACATCCATTTCTTTTGACTACCACTGTGATCCATTAAGTAGTTAAACCATGTATGAAGATTAAAACTACTATTCTTGAAGTCAAAGAGTTAAGACTTTATGCAGGTAGATATAAGATGATGTTTCACAAAATATTTATTTACCAGGTTACAGTAAGAAAGTAAAATTAGCATGGGATGATCTCAGGAAAGCAATACATATTTCTGGATTAGACACTGAAGTAAAGTAAATGTATGGTAAATTGACAAATTCACATTGCCAATGTTATGAAAGATGATGCGGCAAAAAAAGTAAAAGAAAATTAAGCTGTACTTTTCACTTTTAAAGAGGGATATTTTCCTATTAGCTGTTAGTTTACAATGTCCTTAGTCTGAAAAAATTAAGCACTAGTGTTACAGGAGCCCATTGTGAGGGAAACTACTCACTTTCCGAATGCACATTAGAAGTTGGAAATTGCACCCAGATTTGTTGTGTTGTTAGTAGGCCTCTGCTAAGAGAGTAGTAGTTGCAAGCACATACGTGGGTTTGCCAGTAACAACTCACAATTTGTGTAAAGTTGAGTCTTCGAAACTGAGCAAATTTGCTCTCAATTTCCCGCCAGCGCTTGCTGAGCTGGATCTGAGTTGGCTCCACTGCCATTGCGGCCCCATCCTCAGACAAGCCCTCAGCTTGCCTACGTACTGCATTCAGCTCCTCTTTCTTCTTCTGCAATTCACGATCAATTTCCTATTGAGCAAAACCAATACAGGGCCCAGGGTAGTTAGCTAACCACATCAACCAACCTGCAAGCAGCAAATATTTCTCTTAGAAATTTCATAGGCTGTTGTTCCTTTATTGTAATCTTTCAAAATTTACAAATATGGAAGGAGTCACTGTCATTGTCAGCCAATGATCCAAATAATACTTCAGGTATCATTTGAATGCTCAGTTTTAGTTATTTTAGCTAAGGAAATATTAAATTGATGTAATAATTTCTTTCTCCTTAATTCATCTAGTGTTCTGAGTGTTGAGCCAAATTGGAATGATTACTTATTCTTTATTAGGGACTATCCATTTTGAATATATTTTAGAGGGCCAGTCAGTAAATTATTTCTTTTTTGAAGTTTTGAGGAACTCAACAGAGAATGAAGCAAAATAAAACATGCAAAATTATAACAAAAAATACATCATCAGACAATATGCAAATAAATCGATAGAGATTTGACACGGAAGTGTGAAGATGCTCTGGTGAAATGAATGTGCTAACATGAGAAAGAAGTCGTCCATATACCGATAAGTCATTAGTTCATCTGGAACAAAGATACACAAAGTCAATTACAATTTTACAAGAAACATATGACATTGCTTAATTCATTGTACATTGTCCACAATTAAAACTTTTTATTCATTCAACATAATATCATTTGAATAACACTTAATACAATACATTCATCAAAACAAAACACAGTACAGAGAGATGCATCAAATCAAAGAGAACGCTAAGAGAGGAAACAAAACATCAATATTTTAAACACGATCATCACGGGTTAAATAATTACACTAGCAACAAAATCTAGTATTGACATTCTAAAACAACATTACCTTTATTTTCCTTTCATCTCTGGGTTCAGGTAGGCTGGCTAATTTTTTTTCAATGTCATCCAAGCATTTCAGGAGATCGTCAGCCTGCCTCTTGTACTGATACCACTGATGAGAAATTTCTAGAGCCTTTTTTCTTCTTTGAGACCTCAAATCCTGTTCATGGTGCAGATATTATTAAAATATCAATATATATATGTATAATACACTGTTGGCTGTAGTTATTTATAAAGTAATTCGAATCCCTTATCTATTTGTACACCTTAGGTTTAAAATTACACTTAAGTGCAAAACATACAGATGAATGATTGCATTACATGTGTATGTGACAAACCTATGAATACAAGCTAAGAAATCAGAAAAAAAAACACTATTTTCCCTTGTTTTGTTCAAACATTTTTAGAAATCTTGTCATATTTGACTTTTAATGAGCTATCTAAATTGTTACGTAAGCTATATAAAACACTTTAATCAATAAATACAATTGACTTAACCAGATAGCTGCAAAAACATAGTGAGATTGCATCTGAACTCTAAAATAAATCAAATTCTAAAATTTATATGGTCAGCCCTAAGTTCAACAAAATTGTAAGTTCATGTAGCCATGGTTTTAGAAATGCCTGTAAAAATGTTTTATAGGCTATTAATATTGTGTTATTAAAATATAAAATCATTTTAGTTATCCTATAAATTGTTCCAAGTTACATTTGCAGAAGTATGACAACTGTTCTCATAGTTGTGAATGTACATGAAAATGACAGTTTAAATATTAGAAAAATGATTTATTCTGTCAAGGTTTGCGAAGTCATTATTATACCAAAGTAGGTTCTAAATGTAAAGAGATTAACATTATAAAGCATACAGGGTTCAACCAACCTAATGAGAAAAGTAAGGGTGACTGGTTTAATAAATCAACGAAAAAGGCATCAATCATCTTGCTCCTATAAGAATAATCGAATATCTTTCCGAGTCAATAGAATTAGTCTAAATGTCATTTTATACCTCCTGGAAACATAAGAATTCTATGTACAATTTTCATTTCTTCAAGAGGTAGCAATTATGTATTATGTACAAATTTAAATTGAACAAAAAGGATGCCTATCAAATAATATCTACAAAATTATTTGCTTTGCAAAGTTTTGATCTTCTTTGCAATATTTTATAAGTACCAGCATTGGAACAACTTAGTATATGGACATAGTTTCTGAATTTGGTGGTATAAACTGGTTTAGCAAGTTAAACTGATAGTTTTCATTAGTCATAGCATATACTTTCAAGAATGATCAAGATTTCATTCTCCATTTTACTTAAAATTGGGAATATAAAATTTACTTTAGTTCCCATTTTTCAATGCATTTTCTAAATCGCCTGTGGAGGTAATAAATGTCTGTGATGAGTCCAATGGAGTATTGTTTTCTTTCAAAGGTGCCAAGATACAGCCACATAAGTGGGAGCTAAATTTTGCCTGACTCATGATTCAACTCCCATCTTTGCCAAAATAAAGGGCTTACTGGTAATAAATCTAAAATTATTTTTGTTTTCTAAGCACAAGGCTGTGTGTAAAAGTATTTAGAAATCCAATGTACATTTATTTAGTAGCATACCAGGCAACCATTAAATACCACTGTTCCCTAGGATATGTGTCATCATATGACCAGTGTAGATGCTTTTGAAAGCTTGGTCACAGCCAGAATGGTCTGAATTCCAGAGCTTTCTGACTTTCTAAACACACTGTGGTTTGCTCTGTGCTCCTCTCAAGGAAGAAGCCTTTTCTATTTACTATATTTATGACTAGTTACCTTCAGAACACCTGCTGGCCAATTAAACTTTCCAGGTGGATTCCTTATAGGCACAATACTGTTTAATTACATTCTCAGCAGTGTTTATTTGGTATGCTATAGAAAAAAGGTTTTCATTCTCTTATTTTCAAATGGAAACCCGAGTCTGTCTGCCTATTATATGGCTCTAACCATACAACTACATAGGTCTAAAAGAGTGATTTACAGTGGAAAGCTTGGCAATTAACAATATTAGAAAATCAGCCAATGTATGAAGAGTGAATATCCCAAAAAGATAAACAAAAAATATTATTTCTCCAAACTTCACATGTGGAGTTGCACTGCAAGTTCTTGCTAAATATTATTAGAGAAACATCAACAGCTTATTTTCTTCTTCCTGTACAATCCAGGTGAGTCATATAGGTATTTGAAGCCATACACTACTGCTTAGTATTAAAATAGTTCTTCAAAGACATTACAAATATTTTTGACAATTCCTATATAAGTTAAAGTAGACTCTTACAGATGCATAGTTAGTTGCAAAGAGTGACTTACTGGTATAATAAAGTTTATTTTTTAAAAACTAGATAAATCCAGGACTTAAATAACAAGTATAGTTACCAAAAATTCGATCTACTAAAAATAAAACTGATAAAGTGAGGGAAGCAGGAATAATGGAGAACATATAGTTGGTTATTCTGGCTGTTAGTGCACGTTTTTCAACATAAATACAAAATTAGCTTTAAAAAATGAAGTTAGGTATATTAGAAAATTAAATATATGAATACCAATGTGAATGATGCATTTTGCTGTTCTTCAATACTATTCAAAAAATATGTCTGAACAAAAATAAGTGGAAATTTTAAACAATATGACTTGCAAATTCATATAACAAAAATGATAAGACACACAAATTTAACAGAAAAATGTGAATTACTGGTGACTAAGATTCTTAAACAGATTTTATTTATGCACAACATATTTTACCCTACATATGAGAAAAAACCACAGGCAAGGTATATTATAATTTTAGCTCTAATACCTTGAGAGCATTATGTTTTGTCTGTAACAGCTGCTGTTTTATCTTTATTTCCTCTCGCTTTCTCTCATCTGTGATTCTTTGTTGTAAGTTGTCTCCTCTTTGCAACAATTCTTTTACAGTACCCTCATTGTCTTCACTCTGATTAAAAACAACAAGTACAGTCTTCATTTTGGTTTTTAAAAAGCTGTACATTGTTAACAGAGATAATAAAACATGTTATTTAACACACAAAATAATCTAATTTAAAACTTTCAGGAAGTGTTATTATAAAATACTGTGCTCATAGGTTTTCTTTTGTATTTTCTGTTTTGTATTTTAGATTTAAAAGAAGTAACTTCCCTCCCATTGAATTCAAATATATATATATATATATATATATATATATATGATTTTTTGAATTTGATTTTTAGTATACTTCTATAAGTTTAAAATACTTGAGGAACTAAATTTAATCCTGTTATTAACAACATTAAGTGATCAATATTGGAATATATATGTATGTTGTGTGAGATTGTGCAACATTTTAAAATACCAACACGCTACTACATGAAAATATTTTGTTTAAATGTATACTAATTATCATCTAATAACTTCTTTGTATTTTCAGCCTAAATATTCAAATTTAGGATATACTGTATTGATTAAAATTGATACGTTCAATTCCTGTCAAATACTGTAAATAAATTTCAAATTGTCATATATGTGTTAATTTTACATAAGGAAAAGTAAGTCAACATTTAAAAAAGATTAAAAAAATAGCTTTAAATTCTTCATCATGTATTTTTTTCTTTTATACTCCAATAATATTTTAATTTTATTAGAAATAAAATGACTTGAATGAGTGATTGTCTAACCTATTTGTATATGTGACCAGGTTATTTTTTTCATCTCTAGTTAATCTAAGTTTCAATTTGAAATATGAAAAATTTCAATTAAGGAAGCTCACCATACAATGGCTTTCAGCATATGTCAATGAACTAAAGATAAAAAAAGATAATTTTCAAAATCACATGTATGTGTATTATTTTTATAGTACTTGTAAAATGTTAGCATCTAAAATGCATGCATAAACTCCAATGCACAAGTGAAGACCTATCCATCTTACTTAGAAGAAATGTAAATACATTTTCCTGAAATTTATAAATTGTTAATCTAGTGAAATGTAATACAACACGCAGACATATAGTCTACAAAAAAGTTTATATTAATATGCAACTTAAAACTCATAGTATTTTGTAGGACTGTGAACAAAAATGAAATATGAAATAATCTATTTTACTTATTTCCCCACAATCAGGTAAGGGCTTTAGGGCAGGGTTTGGGGACAGGTTAAGAGATGAGCAGCACTTTGTCACCTCAGTGCTCTCTGCTTTCTTCTTTGATATGAAGCAAAGGCAGTTGGAACTCAGCATTTTGGAAAGCCTCTTTTCGTGTCTTTCCACCAACTGAGTTAGCGAAGCCACGACATCTCAGTAATGAGGACTCCTGACTGAGGATGCTCCAGGAAGTCAGACCTGATACCAGTGGGAAGAGTGGTGGATGGAGCTATTGCACCTATTACTTCACATGTCTACTCCTTAAATTTGATCTATTGCCTTCCGATGTCATTTGCGGGCATTGTCTGAGAAATCGCTGTCACTAAGATAACTCTGAAACCTCTAGAATGATATATGTAAAAGACAAAGAAGTGATGGTAGTGGAAGAGAGGGAAAGAAGTAGTGGAAAGGAGGGTGTGAATGGAAGGAAAACAGTCGGTGAATAGGGACGTGATGCAGCAATATTCAAGCCAGAGTGAAATGTAAGAAAAACCTTTTGGAATTAATCAGGATTTAAGGAAAATGTTTGGAGTGTATAAATAGCTCACATGATAATAGCTTTTTGCTCCTGTCAAATAAGTAGCTTGAATGCATACATATTTTAGACGTATACTATTTGCTCAAACTTTGGTAAAACTGTCTTATGGGAAACTTTAGTAAACAATGTTTGTATTATGTGAAGTCATCCCTCTGACCAAAAACATGACTGACACAAAACATCAGCTGTCTATGATCGATGATTTTATTAAAGTTTCTGGTTTATTTTTCAATTGGCTCTATTTTTATTACATTCCCCTGCCCAGAATTTAAAAATAGCACAGGTCAAAGCAAAAAGTCAACTATTTATTAAAATTTGCAAATACTCCCATATGACCATACCATAGTAATTAGGCATTCATAATGAAATGATAACAGGTATACTTTGTATTTAAAAAAAATATTAGAATCACAAAATATGCCAGGTATATATTGAGAGTTCAGTTAGAGACATGAATTATCTAATTTCCTCCCAAATATTTGTTCAATTTCACTCCTACTTCATTCATACTTTTATCGCAACCAATTTACCATATCTTTATTGAAGTCTTCCTCTTTGAGATTCACCCCCTGCTGAATTTCAGCCTCCAGTGGTTCAAGCAATTTTTGTATATCTGAGTTAAACTGCTCCAATTCCTTCAAAGGAATGGAGGCCTAAAAAAAAAGATAGTGCTAATTTAAATCAAAATTACTTTTTATTAGAAACATAAACCAAAATAAATACATTTATTCAACCTCCTGTTGCTAAACTAATAACATGCATTATGTTTCCATATTATGTTTCATGAAAGATTTAAAATACAACTGAGGAAGTCCCTGAGGATGCAAATAAGGGCAGTTAACATCACCAGAGCTGAACATACATGCAAGCTAATGCAATTCCTCACTTTCCTGGGAAATCAAAGTCACTTTCATACATTTTATTGGGCTAATTTTTAAAATTCTTCAGTGGAATTTAATCTTTCTCTACATACTGCAATTTAAATACCATTTGAGTAAATATGTCTTAGCAAAAATTACCTCATTCATCAAAAAACAGTAATCAGGGGTAGAAATGTAGAATTGTTACCCTAGTCTTAAAAATAATGCATAGCACTCTACTGAGATATTTTAAATGACATTTCTACCATGGCAAAATGCACAGCATGCTCTCCTAAGAAAATCAGTGCCATTAGCTTGGCTCAAAAATACTTTCATAGGTGACACAAATCAATTCAATTGAACAAACCTAAAATATTTCAAATAAAATATACAAATATGTTTTCCAACCTTATAAAAATCAGCCTCTTTAATTTTGAAATTGATATTAACCACAGTCTCAAATACCTTTAAAATCTCTTGAGTTTCTAAATGAAATACGTGAAAAGGAGTGATGAAACAAATGACACTGAACATCAAATATTTAAAAAAAAATAGGTAGCATTTAAGCATTAAACTCTGATAACAGAATGTGCATTTTACTTTCTTTTATTTGGTATTTAATTTCTTCCCAGAATAACACTGGAAAATATTTTATACCTCATAACTTTTTAAAACTGAGATGCCCTACAGAAATTTAATATTCTTTCAGAACTATTTCATTTTATAAAACCAATTTAGCAACGACACTCAGTGCCTTATGCCCAGGATGAGATCAGTGATCATCTTTGGATCTCTACCTGTTCTTTCCCAGTCACACTCCCAGCGAGAGTTTTAACCTGTCTTTCTTAGATGAAAACTCTGGAGAACAATAAGAATCTGTTCAAGGACAAACCACATACAGTATTGAAAGGTAGTCTGTGACTGATAGGGATGTAGATCTTTTAAGGCTATTCATGATGACAAAATTTGCACATGCAACATGAATAAACACGTATTTTGGAGGCCCTTTGACGCCTCCCAGAAAAGATCTATAGGGTCCTTTAAACAATGACTTATTATAGCAGCAGTTTTAAAATACAATGGTCATTTGTCATTTGAGATACCCCAATAGTTTCGTGAAGCAGTACAGGTTGAAACAGTGCATACTAAAGATGTGCTTAAAGGATGTCACATTCTCACTCTTACTAGCATAATTCTATAGTACATAATCATATAATATTCAAAGGGTTGTAAAAGTAAAATGTTTGCAGTTCTTCAAAATAAAATAAAGATTATTTAATACTAATTTAATAATATATTGTTCAATTGTTCACATTTGCTGATGCTTAATAAGGACAACTGCAGTTTTACATGATTTCATGAATATATAATATATAAAGTTTAGTAAGTTACTGAAAATTCGGATATTAAAATAATATAGTTGCAGTCTGATTTACTTGTTTTGCTCTACTTGCTTCTTCTCTAGCTATCTTCTTTCAATATACTCAAGAAGATTCCAAAGCTCATTTCTTGGGCTTTCTACCGTTTTCCCAATATTTTTTCCATATTAAAAAATACTTCTTTCCATGGACTTAACTATAATTTTGTTTCTGAAATTGTTATCTTTAGCCGTGACCTCACTTTTGAATTCCAAATTCTAGTATCCAACAACTGGTCAATTTCTCACTTCAACATGTTTAAAAATGAGCTCATTATCTTTTGCCCAAAATACTTGTGGCAATAACTTCCCTAGTTTTGTTCGTATTGTTCTGTCTTCCATGCTTACAAGGGGTGATTGAAATATAGTGAATGTTTACATTTTAAAAAATACAGTAAGTGACATTTTACCCTTAACGCCCCTCAAAATACTAGCTGTTTGCTTTGAATACACTTACCTCATTGTTTTTGTCACATTAACTTAGTAACTTAGTAAGTAAGATAAAACTGGTGAAAGATTCTGCCAAATTCCATCCAACAGAAAGGAAAACTCATAAATCATCATAAAACATTACAGTGCATCCTGGTTTACTATATTCAATAGATGTGGCACTGTGTAACTTCTAGCTCTTAGCCAGAGTTAAAATGACCATGAAAGGTAAATGTTTTGAATGAATTCAGAACATCAAGGCAGCCATGAGAGTACAACTAGAGTCATGAAAGAACACTTCTACAACTGCTTCAGGAACTGGTAAGAACACTGGAATAAGTGAGTTCAAAGCCAAGCAGCAATATTTTATACTAATGACAATGCATCTTACTGTAGTCACTTTATTAAAAAAATTTAAATATTCACATTTTCAATCACATGTCATAAGTCATCATTCTTGGATGTCATTTTCTATTATCTTATAAATATCAAATAAATGTTAATTTGCTGTGATCCACTTGCTTTGTAATTCTGATTCACACCATCGCTCTGAGTCCTCACATGGGAAAGACAAGAATCTCCTGACAAGTGTACAACACTTGTTTTCTGCCAAACCAGTTCCAGTCTGTATACAATGATCAGATCCTTATGTTTCCTGAAACTGTTTTCATTTTTCTATTTTCTACTCAAGATCCTTATGCATCTACTGGTTACAAATAGAATAAAGTCCAAACGCAAACATGATAGTGGCTTTTCTTGTCCCTAGGAACTTCTTGTGTTTAAAAGTTTTCACATTATAGAGTTTTCTTATAGCCCATTTGGTGATCTTTTGTTTTTCTCCCCCAATTCCCACAGAGTGCCTCTTATCTTCTGATAAAACAACACAATTCCTGAGGGAGAATGCATGGATTGGATCTGGGTTTCATCATTTATTAGATAAATTATTTACTCTTTGTGTGTCGGGTTTTTTAAGATTTATAACATAAGAATAAGAAAATCTACTACATAAGGCTGCTACGAGGATAATGTATGTAGGCATGATGTCTGGTATGTGATAAATACACTATAAATGTTGGCTATTAGCATTTTCTCTCCAACTTCTAGATACCCATCTGACACAAGTAAATGTTCAATCGATCTTGGCTCTTATTATTTACTCTCAAAATCATACCCCTGCAGTGGGTCATTTCTACATCTCTGACCTTTGGAAACATGGTTTTTGAAGGGTAACTGCTTTTATTTCACCAAGGCACCTGACAAAATCATGAGATACTAATGGTAATGTGGAGAAATTTAGACTTGGGTCTGTAAAATTTTATCATCCTGAACAACAAAACTATTGAATAATTAATCTGCAATAAAGTAGAAGACTGTCTCAGGGAAGACACCAAAGAATGCACTTGTGTTTGCCTAAGCAGAAATTGCATGATGAGTTTTTTGGTGAAAAATATATGGAAAACTACAAATTTAATGAGATGAAGTTCCCCAAGACACCCATGAAGATGAGCTGTTTGCCTTGTTCTAAGCAGAGTTATTCCAGGTAGATAATTAGCAATCATAAGTAAATATTTCCTAGAAAAAACAAGTGAATGAATGAATGAATAATAAGTGGGTAATGAGACAGGAGAATAAACATTGCAAGAAGTCCTTTAAAACAATTTATATGTAGAAAAATCAGAAGCCTGGGCTTATCATCACTTTCAAAGCAGAAATATTTTTAACAAGTGGCAAAGTACTAGGAATCATCCAATATTTCTAAAAACATACATGTAAAAGATATTAGATCATATTATTACTAGTGATTAGCAGTTATAAGATAAGGTAATGAAAATTTAGAATTCATTATCAGGATTACATGATATAGATTTCTTGACCACAGACTATATTACACCCTGAAGAGATCTTAATGGGGATTAGGGATTTGAATTATTCTATGGGGTTCTAAATGAGTAGAATTAGAGGGTAGAAATTATTTGGAGCCTGGATTTTAGATTAATACAGTAACAATTGATTAGAATTACAATATTTTAAGCAGTGACTTTAAAGAATTAAGTTTCTCATTGCTGAAAATATCTTGGCAGACACTACATGATGATGTATTAGGTCATATTTTAAAATTACGAGCCTTTTTACATAGATATTTTGCTGAAATTATATCACCTTACATTAAGTTTTCTACTTTAGACACTCCAAACAAAGCTTTTAGAGTAAAATATCTCAGTAGAAAAATATTACAAATAATATGTACAATCTGAGGTGATCTAATTTCTATTTTAAAAATAAAACCAGTAAAATTATTTTAATAATGTATTTCATCAATATGCCCAGAATATTATCATACACACCTATAGAAAATAAAAAATATTGAGATACTTTATACTCAGTTTTTCATACTAAGTCTTCAATATCTATATATGTTTTATGCTGTTAGTACAGCTTGTTTTGGAATAGTCACATTTCAGTTGCACAGTGCATGACTGCTAAACTGGGTGGTATAGATGTATAGTAACTTGCCTCAGCTTTGAGAAGAATAAATAGTTCATTAATAGTTTGAATAATGTTACTGCTATATCTTATCAATAATATTCAAGCATAGATATTTCATTAAGTAAATTTTAGTGGATTTAGTATAGTCATACGAAATCAGTCTTATTCACTTGACTTGTGTTTTCTGAGAGGGGTTTTTCAGGAAGTTCTCGGGATAGAGGAGAACTTATTAATGTATCTTTGACTTACAATGTCAGGAATCTCCACTTCTTTTATAAGTAATACTACATTGTGTTGCACTCTCATTTATATATGAATATATGTTTCTTACTTTCTTTGCTTCCCATGTACTTTTTAATCCTTGAAATTGGTAATATATGTTATACTATTATGTATTTCCATGGCAAATATTGCTTATGGTGTTAATTAGTAGTTTTAGAGTAATGCCTAAATATTGATT